TCTTTTCAGACTCCTGGCTGCTTTATCAATTGTGAGGTAATGGTTCTTCTTAGTCTCCTAGCTGCTTCCTCAGCTGTTGGGTAACAAGTCTTCTCAGACTCCTAACTGCTCCATCAGCTTTGGAGTAACGAGTCTTCTCAGACTCCTAGCTGCTCCACCAGCTCTGGAGTAACAAGTCTTCTCAGACTGTTAGCTGTTCCATGAGCTGCGGGGTGATGAGTCTTCTCAGACTCCTAGTTGTGCCATCAGCTGTGGGGTAACAAGTTCTCAGACTCTTGGCTGCTCCATCAATTGTGAGGTAACAGTTCTTCTTCGACTCCTAGCTGCTTCCATCAGCTGTGGGGGTAACAAGTCTTATCAGACTCTTAGCTGCTTCTTCAGCTTTAGGGTGATAGGTCTTCTCAGACTCCTAGCTATACCATGCACTGTGCACTGCGGGGTGATGAGTCTACTCAGACTCCTAGCTGCTCCATCAGATGCAGAATGATGAGTCTTCCCAGAATCCCAGCTGCACCATCGGTCTTTTCAGTCTCCTAGCTGTTCTATCAGCTATGGGGTGATGGGTCTTCTCAGACTCCTAGCTGCTCCATCAGCTGCAGGGTAAAAAGTCTGACTATGTGTCTCCTACCTGAATTGGTCTTCAGCGCAGGAGGCACCTCATTTAAACCTCATCAGCTGCCTTTGTGCTTGTGATAGCATTAGTTTCCAGGCCCCCTGTCTGTTTCCATGTATGACCACTGCAAATATCTTGGAAGCCCTTGTTGCTGACCTTTGCCTTGTTCCCGGACTACTCTTTGGATTGCCACCTGAACTTGACCATGTATGGTTAACTTAACAATGCTTAGTTGCTACCAGCCTTGACTTCGGAACTGTTTTCAGGCTACCTTGGCCATGGAATGTCCCAGGACCAGCCTTGGGACTACAGGTACCCTTCGTTTTCTCAGCCACTCAGGCCCGGTGACTTACGATCAGGAGGAAATATAGCACTGTATTATAAGACCTGGGGGCAACTAAGAACCTGAAGGCCTCCTTGCCCTAAGGCACAGGTGTCAAACTGGCGGCCCTCCAGCTGTTGCCAAACTACATGTCCCATCAGGTATTGCAAGATTGACAGTTACAAGCATGATCGCCAAAGACAGAGGCATGATGGGACGTGTAGTTTCGCAACAGCTGGAGGGCCGCCAGTTTGACACCCTTGCCCTAAGGGAATGGCCAATCCTTTAGGAAGAAGACACACCAGTCAGCTACAGTTCACGGCCTAGGCATCAGCTGTGCATTACAAAGACATGACAGCCCTCCTTTCTGTTTTTAAAAAAACTGTTCTAGAGCATTACCTTGCCTGGCAGAAGAGCAGACAATCTATTGAAACTTTTGAAAAAAACAAAACCTCACGGTTGTCCTTGAAAACTGTTCAAGGCTGTAGGGCTAACATTAGCTGGCTTGGCAGAGAAGCTGATAATCCTTTGCAATATTTAGGAGACAACCATACCTATCTTAAATTGGTAGAAACGGTGGCTATCTGGGGTTTTAATTTAGTTATTTTAGTGCCACTAGCACCTATTGTCAAAGTGTACCATCCACATATTCGACACCTTAAACAAATATCCAGCTTTGAGCCCTCAACTAAATCACCAAAACCTTTTTCAGAACAACTTAATCCCTACCATTAACTTTAGATTTTTCAGGAAAATTCATGGCGGATTGCACTATTCACTATGCATTATTGCAGTGCATTAGTGTGACTAGCGCCCTAGTTACGTTTAAAATGGGTATCTTGAAGCATCGAAGGACCTACTGGTTGTAGTACTTCATAAAAATGAAATTGCTGTCAACTACAACTTTATGGCGAAATATCCACAGGAGCATTGTTCCATTGATATGAGATAAGCCCCAGACCTCACTGGCTCTGAGGAAGAGGTACAACCTCAAAACGCATCAGCCACTAGCTATCCAGAGGTTCACAGTCCCCCACCAGACAGCCTTTAGGGGTTCCTGGACCACTCTGCATGCCTTGCTACATGGTTCTCATTTTGATCTGATTTTATATTTCTCTTGTATTTTACAATTTAGAAATTAATTTAATTTTTAAGGTAATGCACTAGGCCTGTACGCCCTCTTTTTGTTTCTTATATACAACTCCCGTGGAGAGAGCCTGACATTGCTGACATTGACCAACAACACCCTTGCCCCCACCCGGGAGAGCCTTCCACTACCCCGGCGAAAGAGAAAAAGACACTCATCTTCACAGCTCTAGACATCCCCAGGAACGAAAGTCAGAATCTACATACACCATCAAGCAGCCAGGAGCCTCTCTCAGATCCCACCTGGTTCCCATGGTGCACATGTCCCTTCTTTCATGCCTTCTTCTGGGGGGAGGTGCTGCCCCCCTGAAATCTTCCACCCTAGGCAAGTGCCTTGTTTGCCTTGTGGTAAATACGCCCCTGCCTATAATCACTTTGGGTTTGACTTTGACTTAGGGTAAGCACTATATTATTGCATTGCAACCATTCAGGGCTAATCCGAGGTCTTTGGTGGAAGGTAGGAACTTGTTGAGATATATGATATATATCCCTAAACAATGTGTAAAAGAACCTGTGAAGGAAAAAATACTTAGATAATATATTCTACTTTCCCAGATGTTCGTAGTGCAGGGGTTGAACGTCATTCTGCCACCAGCAAGATCAATGGGGATTCTGAGTAGCCCAAATCTCGCGATAAGATGTTTCAGCACAAGGAAAGATAAACTTCTTGTGAGAGTTGGACTACTCAACTTTCTCTGAGATCTGGCCAGAGGGAGGAGGATGTCACCCTCGCCTACAGTCATGGCCAAAAATATTGGCACCCCTGCATTTCTGTCAGATAACGCACCACTTCACCCACAAAATTGTTGCAGTGACAAATGTTTCGGCATTCTCATGTTTATTTCTTTTGTTCGTATTGGTTTGACACAAAAAAAGTGGAGAAACGAAAAGCCAAATCTGACACATTGCCCTCAAAAATGAACTGGACAAAATTATTGGCACCCTCAGTTAAATAATTGTTAGCCCACCCCTTGGAAAAAATACCCCTAATCAATGGCTTCCTATAACTATCAATGAGTTTCTTCCACCTCTCTACTGGAATTTTGGAGAACTCTTCTTTCACCAACTGCTCCAGGTCTCTCAGATTGGAAGGGTTCTTTTTCCCAATTGCTGTTTTGAGATCCACAGGAGCTCTATGGGATTGAGATTTGGACTCATTGCTGGCCAGTTCAGTCTTCTCCAGAACTTTGACTCAATGTAATATTTGGTAGCACACCCCTTGGAATAAATACCTGAAATCATTGTATTCCTGTCACCATCAATGAGTTTCTTCCACCTCTCTACTGGAAGTTTGGAGCGCTCTTCTTTCACCAACTGCTCCAGGTCTCTCCGATTGGAAGGATTCCTTTCCCCAACTGCTGTTCTGAGATCTCTCCACAGGAGTTCTATGGGATTGAGATTTGGACTCATTGCTGGCCTCAGTCCTCTCCAGCGCTTTGTCTGAAACCATTTCTAGGGGCTTTTTAATGTGTGCTTTGGGTCATTGTCCTGCTTGAAGACCCAGGACTTCTGACGGAGACCCAACTTTCTGACAATGGGCCCTACATTGCACCCCATAATTCTTTGGTAGTCTTCATATTTCATAATGCCACACGCACCCAGCCAAGACATCCAGTGCCAGAAGCAGCAAAGCAACCCTAAAACATTAGTGACCCCCCCCCCCCCACCATGTGTGACTGTAGGGACTGGACTCTTTTCTTTAAAGGCCTCATTGCTTTTTCTGAAAGCAGTAGAATGATGGCTGTCATTTTGTTTCGTCTGGCCACAGCACATTCTCTCCAAAGGATTTTGGCTTCCCCAGGTAAGTTTTGGCAAACTCCAATCTGGCTTTTTTATGTTTCTGTGTCAGCAGTGGGGTCCTCCTGGGTCTCCTACCATAGCATCCCTTTCCATTCAGATGGTGATGTATAGAGCAAGCGGACACAGTTGTACACACATATATATATATATATATATATATATATATATATATATATATATATACTTTTTATTTATTTATTTTTACATGTATTTGTAAATGCATTCCAAACGTAGATTTTAATTTTTAAAGACACACCATATATTTGAAATGTATTTTTTAAAATATTTTTCATACAGTATGTTTTGTAATAAAACCGCATTTCAACATGCAGTATATATATATATATATATATTATATTATTTATTTATTTATTGAAATATATTGAATATGGCCAAAACTGTTGCATTTCAAATATATGTCAATATATTTGTGAAGAATATTTTTAAAATATATTTCAAATATATTTTTCTTCCATGTGGGAAGCTGCTGTATAGGACATACCAGACAAAACAAATCTCGATTCCAGTATATGGTACTCCGAGGAGCTGCTATCATCAAGCAGTTATGAGGTCACTTACAGGAAAATAATGTACAGTACAAGGCTGCTGCAAACATTACAGAACAAATATTTGATCAAATTTTGCCAACAAATAAGGAGCAACATAAGAGAGGCATCCGCTCATTTCACATGATAGGAACTTGACACATCTATTATTATATATTTCCATTGCAATACGGTTTATTGGGTTTATAGTGACAGAATTGAATTTGTTTTACGTATAAAGCTTCATATTGACTTTAAAATTGCGGATATATTGGATTTAAACAGACATACAGTATGTGTGCCCGAGCCAGGGTTTGTCATGACTATTTCAAGTAAACCATTAGTGATAGTAAAATAGGAAAACAATCCTTACAGTGCAGACATTCAAAATAATTTTCAGGTCTCAGGGAACCCCTTATAAAAATAAATCATCGGGGGTCAGTGGAAACAGTGGGAAGAATGCTCCTTACATTGGGGATCAGTAGGAAAAATGTCCCTTACATTGTGATCAGTGGGAAGAATGTCCCTTACATTGGTGGTCAGTGGGAAGAATGTTCCTTACATTGGTGGTCAGTGGGAAGAATATCCCTTACATTGGTGGTCAGTGGGAAGAATGTTCCTTACATTGGTGGTCAGTGGGAAGAATGTCCCTTACATTGGTGGTCAGTGGGAAGAATGTCCCTTACATTGGTGATCAGTGGGAAGAACGTCCCTTACATTGGGGGTCAGTGGGAAGAATGTCCCTTACATTGGGGGTCAGTGGGAAGAATGTCCCTTACATTGGTTATCAGTGGGAAGAATATCCCTTACATTGAGGATCAGTGCAAAGAATGTTCCTTACATTGGTGATCAGTGGGAAGAATATCCCGTACATTGGGGGTCAGTGGGAAGAATATCCCGTACATTGGTGGTCAGTGGGAAGAAAGTTCCTTACATTGGGGGTCAGTGGGAAGAATATCTTGTACATTGGTGGTCAGTGGGAAGAATGTTCCTTACATTGGGGGTTAGTGGGAAGAATATCCCGTACATTGGTGGTCAGTGGGAAGAATGTTCCTTACATTGGTGATCAGTGGGAAGAATGTCCCTCACATCATTAAGAATCAGTGGGAAGAATGTTCCTTATACTGGTGGTCAATGGGAAGAATGTTCTTTACATTGGGGGTCAGTGGGAAGAATGTCCCTTACATTGGTGATCAGTGGGAAGATTGTCCCTTACATTGGGGGTCAGTGGAAAGAATACCCTTTACATTGGTGGACAGTGAGAAGAATGTCTCTTACATTGGTTGTCAGTGAGAACAATGTTGTTTATATTGGTGGTCAGTGGGAAGAATGTCCCTTACATTGGTGATCAGTGGGAAGAATGTCCCTTACATTGGTGGTCAGTGGGAAGAATGCTCCTTACATTGGTGATCAGTGGGAAGAATGTCCCTTACATTGGTGATCAGTGGGAAGAATGTCCCTTACATTGGTGGTCAGTGGGAAGAATGTCCCTTACATTGAGGATCAGTGTGAAGAATGTTCCTTACATTGGTGATCAGTGGGAAGAATATTCCTTACATTGGTGATCAGTGGGAAGAATGTCCCTTACATTGGCGGTCAGTGGGAATAACGTCCTCCTTATATTGGTGATCAGTGGGAAGAATGTTCCTCATACTGGCGGTCAGTGGGAAGAATGCTCCTTACCTATGTGGTCAGTGGGAAGAATGCTCCTTACATTGGAGGTCAGTGAGAAGAATGCTTTTTACGTTGGTGGTCAGAGAAGAATGACCCCATTACAGTTTTGATCAAAATGCCACCATTCCAGACAGAGATCTTTGGTGTCATGCTGCTGGCTCTGCTATGTGGCATTCAACCTGGAATTATGAAGACATCATCAGACAGGAGTTCAACCAAGCAAAGCTCAAATAACCCCTAGCAACCTCTTGAGGAATCGAAGGGTTCCATGTAGCCTTTGTTGAGTATGCATTGAATGATGCATGGTGGCTGATTATGCTGATTTTGCTGATCAGGCATTCTGCCCTGAACTCCAATGTAAGGGGTATTTTTTCCCACTGTTCCCACTGACCTCCAATGACTTTTCAGCAGAGCTGCTCATGAGTTCCAAATTCTACACTATGATATAAAGCCATCTTCCTGGTCACTAGCACCTCTTGCCTGTTTTTTTTGCTCCTGAGCCTAACTCTTGATTAGTGAAGTTCTTCTTATAGCAATAGGCTGTATCAGTGCTCAGGAGGTGGGAAGAGATGGGCAGAGTTGTCAAGCATGTACAGGAAAGAGAATCCTAGAATTTAGGACTCATGGAGCACTCATTTGACAGTGTCTACTGAAATCCTAGTCATATCTCCCCCCAGTAAGGGATACCCACCCATCCAGGCTCTGTTGGAGCACTCACCCCCTGTTGCTCTAACACAGAAGGGCTTCTAAATATAGAGGAATTTGTGCCCTCCTGTATGTGAGCCTGAGCAGCTAATGGTCAGACCCAAACACCAGGGTTGGGCAGTGATGTTACACAAGGTGACACCGGAACTTATCCTGCATGAGGAAGGTGGTGAGGGAGATTGGTGAATATATCATGCCGCCATAAAGCACATCTAAGGTTTTGTAGTTTGGCTCTTTGGGAGAGCCCCTAACCTAGTTCTCTGTCGGTTTTGGCCAGCCATGAGGCGAGGGGTCAGTCAGAGGTTTTGGCTTAGTGGACCAGAGTGTCCTTGCCCCTTTTAGGAACCTTGTTTTCCAGGGGGTTAGGGAAGGTCTTCCTTCTTCGGAAGGGAGCCAGTGACAACCCTAGGCATTTGGGGTGAGTTTCACATGCAGTTTTGTGGTTCGCATGATGCACTTGAAAAAGAAATGCCCTGAAATAGGCAATAAGTTCTTTCCTCCCTTGCCTGGGAGTCTCTCTTCAGGAGAGCTCCCCACCTAGTACTTGTTGGATGGCTTCAGCTGACCTTGAGGAGTGGGGTATGCTGGGCCTTTTGGCTAGGTGGACATGAGTGTGCCTTCCCCTCATCATAAGTCTTGAGCCTGTGGCTTCCTTCCTCCCCTGCCTGGGGGTCTCTCTTTGAGAGTTTGGGAGAGCCCCTAACCTAGTACTCTGTCATTGGTTTCAGCCAGCCATGAGGAGAGGGTTAGACAGACTTTTTGGCTAGGTGGACCAGAGTAATCTTGCTCCTTTCAGGAACCTTGTGTCCCTGCTGGTTAGGGAAGGTCCTCCTTATTCGGGAGGGAACCAGTGACAACCCTAGGCATTTGGGGTGAGTTTCACATGCACTTTTGTGGTTCGCATGGTGCACTTGAAAAAAAAATACTCTCATCAGAAGTCTTGATCCTGGGGCTTCCTTCCTCCCCTGCCTGGGGTTCTCTCTTTGGGAGAGCCCCTAACTCAGTACTCTGTGGTTGATTTCGGCAAGCCATGAGCACAGGGGCCAGTCAAGCCTTTTAGCCAGGTGGACCAGAGTGTCTTTGCCCCTTTCAGTCATTGATTTCAGCCAACCACGAGGAGAGGGTTAGTCAGACTTTTTGGCTAGGTGGACCAGAGTGATCTTGCTCCTTTCGGGAACCTTGTGTCCCGGTGGGTAAGGGAAGGTCCTCCTTTTTTGGGAGGGAACCAGTGACAACCCAAGGCACTTGAGGTGTTTTTCACATGCAATTTTGCGGTTTGCATGGTGCACATGAAAAAAAAATGCTCTGAAATAGGCAATAGTCCTCTAACTTTTGGAATATATGATAGAACAAGACACATGACTACCTTCTGTTTTAACCAGACCCTAATGTGTAATGCAGCTATTTGTTATTTATATTTGAATTAGCAGCTCTTGGGTTCTGGAAGGTCAATAGTTTGACCTTAGTCTGTATCACCAATAAGAATTCCAAAGTGTAAAGCAAATGATCCTTTTAGGTTGACTGGAATGAAAAAATTTTTACGTGCATGGTGGATTTGGGGCTTGTATCTCTGGTTGTGCCTAGGATGATTTAATTGCAGTTTTCAGTGCTGATGGTCAACCAAAGGGATAGTTACATATTACCCATTCGGGAAGATGGTTAGATTGGCCATTGTCTGGTGGCCTTCTTGTTTGTTCTATGAGAAAAGGATTTGAGAGCCAATGAATACTTTCTTCATCAAGGTTTTTTTGTTACTGCGACTTCGTCTTACAAACACCAGTTTGTGTAGCTCATCATGGGGTCAGGGTTTCCCAGCAAGCAGACATTATAGATAAAGAGCTGGAGCCGGCTTTTGTGGAAGAGGGTAAAGGAGGTCACATTGGAAAGGATGTCATTTTCGTAATATGCCTGCATTAGTGCTGATTGATTCAAAGCATCTTCATTATTGAGTAGTGACAGTAAATCCCTTGAGTGCCTTAATTACTTGTATTATGTTTTAATTGTCTACAACTGAAGACATATCACAGACAGCAGCACTAAAACTTTAATTGGAATGGGAGCCATAATCCATTAGTCTATTTTTAAGCAAGCGAAATTCGCAAAATTCAGGGGCAGTAAAAAATAAAAAAAAAAAAAACCCCAAAAAAACAACTAATCAAATAAATGAGCATGGGACAATAGGCAGCTCACATGGGCATATTACACAGTCGTTGGAATAGTGGAGTTGGGCAAGCAGACAACCTCCCCAGAGCTACAATCCAAGAAAAATGTAGTAAAAAAAAAAATCGTAAGGGGCGTTGATAGAAATATAGGAGTTTTCCAATAATTTGACGCCTCTGAATGGGAACCAGTTCACGCAGATAAAACAATTGATATCTCGCATACAGACAACAGATATCCATTATACCACATTTGGTCAGTGAATTGATAGTAGCCAAGTTAAACCTTCCGTATTTATGACTGTAAGCCATCAGGCTGCAGAAACAGCAATACATTTGCTCCTCTTTTAGGTTTTTTATTTGGTAGGTGCTGCAGCAAAGGTTAAAATCCCCATGTGGCGACACATTGGAGAGTTGGACCGTTGCTCTCATACACAACACAGCGGCCTGGGTCTCCAGTGACCCGACACCTCCCCTGAAGACTGTTTTAATCAACAATGTATTGGTTCCAGCAGGGTGTTGAATGGAGTAGTAAGCAGAGGACCACGTTGGACCATTGGAAACTAGGTCGGCTGTGACAGAAGCAATCTGACTCTCCAACATGCTGGCGACTGGAGTAGTATGCAGAGGGAATGTTGGACCACTGAAAACCAGGTCTGCTTTGTTGTGTGTGAAGGCAGTAGCCTGACTCATTAAAGTGTTGTTGACTGAAGCAGTGTGCAGGAGGCATGGTGGACCGTGGAGATGAGGTCTTCTGTCCTTTGTGAAAAGTCTGACTCTCCAACATGCTAGCGACTGGAGCAGTGTGCAGAGGGCATGTTGGACCATTGAAAACCAGGTCTGCTGTGTTGTGTGTGAGAGCAGTAGTCTGATTCACCAAAGTGCTATTGATTGAAGCAGTGTTTAGGAGACGTGTTGGACCATTGGAGATTAGATCTTTTGCGCTGTACGAAAAGCAGCAGTCTGACTGTCAGGAATGGACTTGCCAATAGTGGTGGGACTCACCTGCCTTGTGGGCTGCAGTACCAGGGCTGGCCAGCGGGTGCTCTCAACAACCAGAGGTTCACTTCGGCAATTAGCCATCACCTGGGGCTGATTGCAGGTGGTGTATTTAAGGGATGGCCAGACCTGCAGTCTGTGCCTTGGTGTGTGTTTTTCCATGGGCCCCTGTATCTTGTAACCTGCATTCCTGTTCCTGCCTGACTTGTTGCCGACCCTGCCTGATCCTGACCTCTGCTGACTTCTCCTGTTTGATCCCTGGCTTGTGACCCTGACCATTCTCTGCCTGACTCCCTGTACCTACCTGTCCGTTAGTTGCTGTATCCGGCTCATGACCTGACTACTCTCCGCCTGCTCCTCCTGTACCTACCTGCCCGATAGTTATCGACCCGGCCTTCCTGACTACGTTGTGCCCTATATGTGTATGTACCTGGGTATCTATATCAGTTTAGGTTTGGGTTTGTTTCACCTTGTTGTATGTATTTGTGTTAGCTTGGGGTTTGGTGCACTGCGTTTATATTTGTACTGTTAGTCTTAATAAATTGTCTTATTTATACCATATCTGAAGCTTGCGTTTCCCTTTGTCAGTCCACACACTTCTGGTCACACCCGCATCCCTGACACTGACTCTCCAATGTGCTGTTGATTGAAGCAGTGATTAGGAGATGTGTTGGACCATTGGAAACTAGATCTTCTGCACTGTGTGAAAAGCAGCAGTCTGACTCTCCAACGTGCTGTTGATTGAAGCAGTGTTTAGGAGATGTGTTGGACCATTGGAGATTAGATCTTCTGCCCTGTGCGAAAAGCAGCAGTCTGACTCTCCAACGTGCTGTTGATTGAAGCAGTGTTTAGGAGATGTGTTGGACCATTGGAGATTAGAAAAGCAGCAGTCTTCTGCTGTTGATTGAAGCAGTGTGCAGGAGACCTGTGCGAAATTAGATCTTCTGCACTGTGTGAAAAGCAGCAGTCTGACTCTCCAACGTGCTGTTGATTGAAGCAGTGTTTAG